AAGTTAGCGTTTCCATATATTTATAATATTTAAGTGTATTTTGTTTCTACAATTGGTTTAGACATTTTTCAGGGAATGTCGGAATTGAGAGAAATTCTCAAAGTTGACACCAAGCTAGATGATCTACATACTGCTAGAGACAAATTCAGGGAAGTCATTGACCAAATGTTAGAAATTATGCAATTTGCCATGGATATTATCTATAACATAAATAAAAGGGAGTATGCATTTGCATAAGAGGAACTTAACAACTATAAGAGAAATAGAAAATAAACACCATCTACATCATCCAAACCTGCTTCACAATATGAAAAACCAATGTACTTATTTCTTTTATGATAAAAGTATTATTCTCTATGTTCAACTTTATCTTGATTTCAATGCTACTCATTAGTTGATTGAAATTTAGTACTAATTTTGTGAATATACAATTGTTCCTCTAATTGACACATTGGATTTACTGTTTAATGAATCTACTAAAATTTCTCCATCTTGACACATTTGTTTTCATTTAATTGTTCCATCTTCACACGTTGGATGAGTATTAATAATAATTATATAGGTACATTACATAAGCATTCCAAAAATCTAACCATTTTGAATAAAAACGTATAAAGATGGAAGTTAGTCTCTTCATATTCTATTTTGTAATTCTACAATTATTAACCCAGAAATTAATTGAGTTATCGTGTTCTCAACTGTTAAACAAACAAAGCCTTTGAATCAACTGTATGAACAGACGTTTGTTTTCAAACATTACCTGAGGATTACTGATTTAAAAGAAATATATGAATCCTATACTGTGAGAAAAATTTTACTAGTCAATGTCAAACTTGAAAATGAATACAACTTATAGAAATTGCGAAAGCTCAATATAAATTTTAAGTTTAAATAGTGATATCGAATATCAAACACATGTCTAAAAAAATGATATCAATTGTACAATTAGACTATATAATATTCAGGTAGTCTTCTCAAGTTGCATGAATGATTTAATAACATCGGCCTATAATTGATATTATAATTATAGAGATACAATTATTAATTTTATCTTAATACAACTTTGTACATATATAAAATTTATGTTTACTCTAAAATTTGTATAATTTAACAGTTATTATCTATTAATTTAATTACTTTATTCTGTTAGAATAAATTTGTTTACAACCTATTTCTAAACATTGAATAAACATATGCGCGCAACGCGCAGGCCCCATGTCTAGTGTTATAGTAAAATTCATGCAATTACCTAGAGCCATTTTATGAATGAGTCCAACTGTTCATTCAATTTCAAAATGCATATCAATTAGGACCATAAAGTTGTGTAAAGGAAGATCTTCAACCTTGGTGCCCAAAGTCTTTATCTTCATCTGCACAAAAATTTGAAACATCAAGATGTGTAGTATTCGTTTGACATAAATCTTCAATAAGATTTGTCTCCATGTTCTTTTCTTTGCTTCCTTTAGAAGCTTGATAAATGTCCACTAAATGTTTAGGTGTCCAGTGGCCTTCAGAGCCGCATTTGTAACAAAAGCGTTCAAACCCTTCTGTATGTTTGTCTTCATGATTCTTCTCATGATCTTCCCGCTTTTGGTACGGGAACAAGAAGAAAGGAGGGCTTTTGATATTATTTGCTCTTTAACTAAGATTTGTACCGATTCAAATGGGCTGTATTTATTTATAGAAGATTAGCTTGACACCTCATCAATATATGTATTATTTTTACTTTGCCACATGTTAAGGCTTTGTCCATGTGAAAAGCCACACGTGTCATAACAAAAAACACATTTTTCTCATAAGAATGAATGATGGGTGGAAAAGAATTACGATAAACTTCATAAATGACAAGATGGTAACCACATGACTGTTGACCAAAGGGTAAAAGTGTAAAAGTCTCAAGCAGCAGGAGGAAAATGATATTTTACCATATGGTGTCATTTTGTCTATAACAAAATTAGAATTTCAGTTGTAAAGTAGTTGATTCAGTTGTTGGTAATCTGTTTTGTATAAAAAGGGAGAATGTTCCCTCACTCATTATTATTGTTACGAATTTACAATACAATAATAGAAATCAGTTACTCTTTCTTGATTTTTCATTTTTCTTTCAAACCCTAAGCTTAGATTCACATGGTGTCAGAGTAGTTACTTGCGTCAAATAGCTTCAGATCCTGATCTCTCTCAGTCGCTTAAAATCACCGGGAAGATGATGCTTGAGGTGTAGAACCGAACTACCTTAGCTCTTGCCTCAAGCTTACAAGTAATCAATCCCAAGCTAACAAGGAACAACTATCGTTTTTGGAGCTTCCGGGTTCTTTTTGCAGTTGGTTCCCATGAATTGGAAGATCATTTGTTAGGTAGAGTCCCTTGTCCCCCTCCAATTTTAATTAGTGATTCTAAGATAGAAACTAGCAATAATACTGTTGGTGAGAGTTTAAATCCAACTTACATTATGTGGAAAAAGATTGATAAATTCCTAGTACTCTTGTTCCTCCTACTTCAGACATGAATATTGCAGGTAACAAATGGGTATTCAAGAGAAAATTTAATGTTGATAGTATCCTGTAGAAGTACAAAGCTAGGTTAGTAGCTAAGGGATTCTAACAAACTCCTGGTTTGGACTATTTTGAAACCTTTAGTCCTATTATAAAACCCTTCACTATTCGAATAATCTTTACTTTTGCAGTGACCAATGCATGGGATATTCAACAAATTGATGTAAACAATGCTTTTCTTAATAGTACTCTAAGTGGGACAGTGTTTATACAGCAATCAAGTGGCTTTGATTCTGCTTCTTATCCTTCATTTGTGTGCAAGTTAAACAAGGCACTATATGGTCTTAAACATGCCCCTAGGGCCTAGTTTGATAAACTCAAGGCTGCTCTTCAAGACAAAGGCTTTCAAAACTCAATTTCAGACTCAAGTTTGTTTGTTCTTCAAAGATCATGAGGCCTAATCTATGTTCTTATTTATGTATATCATATACTCATTACTAGTTCTGATGCAACCTACATTACTCAGTTGATAAAAGACTTGAATGATCAATTGGCCTTGAAAACCTTAGGGTCACTTAAGTATTTTTAAGGATTGGAAGCACTCAGAACAGTTGTTGGTATACACCTCAGGCTGTCTAAATATGCTTCAGATTTGCTTGTCAAAACCAAAATGATGGAAGCTCATCCTTGTTCCACACCAATGGTCGCTGGCACCAAGTTTAGTAGTGATGATAATGCCTTGTTTGAGAATCCTAGCCTATACCCAAGCACCATAGGAGCTTTACAGTACCTAACACTCACTAGACTAGACATTCGCTTCATTGTTAATCGACTCGGTCAGTTTTTACAAGCCCCAGCTGAATTACAAAGGCAAGCTTGCAAAAGAGTGCTTGGGTATATCAAAGGGACACTGAATTTCGGCCTCGAATTTAAACTAGCAAGTTTATTGCATGTTGAGTGTTATGCTGATGTAGATTGGGGTAGTAACATTGAAGATAGAAGATCCACTAGTGGATATTGTGTCTACCTTGGTCCTAACCTAATCCAGTGGAGTTTCAGGAAACAAAAATTGGTTGCATTGTCATCTACTAAAGCTGAATATAGGGCTTTAGCACAAACTGTCACAAAGGTTGCATGGCTTCAAAGTATGTTCTCTGAACTCAACCTTAATTTACACACAAAACTTGTTATTTGGTGTGATAATGTAAGTGTAAGGGCCTAACCTTTGAATCCAATCTTTCATGCAAGAACAAAGCATATAGAAATAGATGCTCACTACATTAGAGAGCAAGTTCTTACTAAGAATCTAATTGTTCAGTATGTACCATCGAAATTGCAAATTGCAAATATATTGACAAAGGCACCGTCTGCTGTTCAATTTACTGAGCTGAGACAGAAACTGAACGAGACTGCACTAACTTGTGCCACAAACTAATTTTTAATAACTTGAATTTGGTACCCTATTTGTTTGTTTGTTCATACTGGTTCTAATGAACGAGTATGAAACAAAAATGAAGAAGTCAAAAGCAAGAGAATGTAGTAATGTATAACTCACTGAATGGTTGTTCACTGTCTGCTATGATAGTACTTTGATGCTTGTCTTTTGATAGTAATATGATAGTAGTTTTTGTGGATTATTTGCTCTCTTTTGCTGATTCCGGTGAAGAAATCAGAAAAACAAGATGAAGAAGTCAAGAACAAGATGATGTAGTTAGGAACAAAATACTTGTTGATTTTCAGTATTGATGATATTCCACTAGCAGTTCGAGATAAAATGGGGTTCTAAGTATTGATGATATTCCACTTGCAGTTCGAGATAAAATGGGGGTTCTATGTTCTTAGTAGTTTTGATGTAGTCTCTTGTCTTTTCAACATGGTACCCCGCTACATCATATCAACATGGTACTCTGTTGTATCATGCCAACATGGCACTCTGCTATAAACAGTACCATGGTGAAGGTCTTCTCTTTGTATATTCTTGAACAACTGGTATATTGGATCCATCTGTTCAGAATCCATGTGTTCTGTTGTCACACTACAGGAGCTGAATGTTCATCTTGAGAGGGGAGGTTAACCAAAGGCTGTCAAATAGAACTAATGAAGAAGCAAAGGCAAGAGTGTCTAGCTTGAGAGGGGATGTTGACCAAAGGGTAAAAGTGTAAAAGTTTCAAGCAGCAGGAGGAAAATAATATTTTATGATATGGTGTCGTTTTGTAACAGAATTACAATTTCAGTTGTAAAGTAGTTGATTCAGTTGTTGGTAATCTGTTTTGTATAAAAAGGGAGAATGTTCCCTCACTCATTATTACTGTTACGAATTTACAATACAATAACAGAAATCAGTTACTCTTTCTTGATTTTTCGTTTTTCTCTCAAACCCTAAGCTTAGATTCACAGACCATTGTTAATGTTATTTGATAAATTGCATGATCTTCAAAAAGGCATGTTCTCATAAGAATGAATGATGGGTACAATAAACTTCATAATTTCATAAGTGACAAAGATGACTAAAGAAATTACATGGTTTTACAAAGATAAATTTCCACAATCAAGAATATTCATAGTTAATCATACAGGAGGTCGAAGGAAAAATTAGAACTGAAATTACACAACAGCCAAAGAAAAACAAGAACTCTTTTGACCACATTTTTCCCAGCCATCAATCATGCAAACTGTGCAATGCAAATAAGAAGTAAAATGCATCCAAATGTGAAGTCAAATTCCTTTTATGCTTGTTATCTTTTGTCTTTTTCTAATTTTTTCTTTCTCCTAAATCTATTATATCTACGAAATTTTTTCCTGTTTCCCCCTCTGTTTTCAGTCCATTTTTTTTATATGTTTCTAACCTCATTGATTTCTCTACGTCTACGTCTCCTACCTGAACGGTTCAACAGAACTCTGCTGTGTCGGCGGACACGGCTAACTAGGGAAAGACCACCATGGTCATTATTGTTACCATCATCTTCATCTTCATCAGAGTAATCTAAGCCACCAATAGGAGTCAAATGGCGGATTCCAATATCAGCCTCATCTGATGTGTGGCGGAAATTCCTCTCTATCTGCCTTGCTCGTCTACCAAGGTCATTCCCTGATGCCCCAAATGCATGCAATAGCAGAAAAACATTCACCAAATTACTATCAAAGCCCACCTCAAAACCTCCATCCCTATCTGCAGTATCTGCATCAAATCTCCCATCCTCTCCATCTGTGTCAAAACCATAATGATTTCCTTCTATTACGTAGTCTCCAAAAACCATTGCACCTGGCATTGTTGACCTTATTGTGCTGACCACATCATCCTGCTCACGCTCTCGCTCAAGCCTTATCCATTTTTGTTCAAGATTGGGATCCACTTCACGTGGCCTCACAGAAGGGTGATCAGCCTTCATGTGTTTCCTTAGCTCTTTGTAAGTTCCAACAAAAGAACATCCATCCTGCATACAACTTCTCTTCTTTGCATTTAAATATTCTCGAGCAGGTTCCACAACTGTCCACCCTTTCACCTGGCCTCTGCAAAGGGGGCATGCAAGCTCCATAATTTCACACTTCTCTGAGGGTAAGCTAGAATCAGGTAACACAATTGGATTATTGACTGAACCAGGCAAGGACTGACCATGATCGGATGGGATTACTTTAGTGTAGGCTTTCTTGTACTGGTCAAGGCAATTCGAATATCGGAAGCTCGTTCCACACATGTAGGGCCGGCAACCCTTGTCATGAGAAGAACAGAGGAGAAGAACAGCATTGTGCGGGCACTCCATGCACACAGAACATGTTGCATCTTCCCAGTCCTTCTTATCCAAGGCTTTGGAGCACTTTTGTGTACACATCTCCTCTGCAATACCACGATTAGAGGATAGCAATGAGTATGGAGTCAGCCTGAATTGTCGGGAAGAAATCCTGCGCCTCACTCTGCTACCTTTTGCCATTTCTAGCACACCTAAAACCATAAACTTAAAAACTTATTACTATATGGAAAAGACCTCAATTATCAGCAAAAGGGACTATCTTTCCTCAAAAGATGGTGGGAAATATATAGAAATTAATTAGCAAATAGATATATAATGATAAATAAAAAGTGCAAAGAACCAGATTTTTAGATTAACTTTAAAACGAAGAATGGTAGGAAGATGGAACAGTAAGAAAAAAGAATTAAGAAAGAAAGAAGATAAATAGTTAAAAAGAGTCCAACAAGAAAAAAAGGAAGATCAATTTCATCATCAAAATAAGTCATTAGAAATCTTTATAACTGCATATTCTGCAAAGCTGGGAAAGGACACATTGTAGATTGACAACAAGAACACTCTTTAGAAATGTAAGTTTAATAACTGCAGCACTTGATTGCAAATTCCTCCATCCAAGATTACACTACTATTACATGTAACTAATTTGATTGTGTAACATGCATTACATGAAATATAAAGACTTCAGAGATACGCCAAGTAATTGTCATCCCATCACAATAGTAACGGCTTGACTCACAAACATAAAGACACCAAATAAGGATATCATTCACCTCACACAAATCATGCTAGCTGCTAATCTGCAGAAAGGAGTTCTACAATTTAGTAAGAGGTCTTCCAACATATAAAACTTATTTGGAACACCCACCATGAGCAATTTCATAGTTATACCCAGAACAAAGACCAATGACAAAATAACAACCTCTGGGATATTGCAAACAATAAATAAATGCACGTGACTCAATATATTGACACATTTCATATCCGCAAACAACGGAATTAACATTGGATCCAGCCGCACAAAAAATTTAGTATCCCAAAATTATGCGAGTTGCTGTCAATGAACAAGCGTTGATCCATAAATTCTCTCATCACAGTAAGTATCTTACAAAGAAAAAGAGGTTCAATTACAATAATTTTATTAAACCTTCCATTCCTAAAACATAGTAAACAAACATTCTATGGAACACACACTCACACAACATATTGGTAGCCAATAAAAGAAACACATCACAATTTCTGGGTACAATATTACCATCTCATTTTCAAATGCTAAAAATCCAGAAAAATAAAATAAAATAAAATGTACAAACTGTAAACAAGATGAACAAAACAGGGACGAATTTGAACACAATAACGCAATCCTACAACAAACCCATTTCAGGGAAAAGAACAATACAGTTATGAGCATAATTCAGATGCATAAAATCAATTCAGCATCAACTTCAATCTAATTTGATAAAAAAAAAAAATGGAAAAGAACACTCACCTGCCTCGTGAAGCGGACAAAATCGAGATGAAGAAAGAGAAGTTAATCGAAGAGACCAAAGTGCATCTGGAAAAAAAATTAATCACAACAAATCACAACAAAGACCAGAGCTTTGCCTTATATATATATATATATATATAAAAGAATCAAAACAACGTGCTTAACCAAAGATTCACACAAGACAGATAATTTCGTTATTATTTTAATCTAAAGCTACCAATTCACCCACATGGATTTATGATCTATCTCTATATCCAATTCAGATCCAAAATTATTCTTATTTTATTAAAAACCCATAAATTAAGGGAAAAAAAAAAACTAACCCCGAATTCAAATTCAATTAAGTGAAATGGAGAAGGGAATTGTACCAGGAAAATTGTAGAAATGGAAAAAAAAAAAAAAGCGCATTAAAATGAAATGAAAATAAAAATAGAATAAAATGGAAGAAAATTACATGAAAATTAGGGTTTAGTGCGAGGAAATCGATGAAGAGAGAAGGTAATGGGCGGGATTGATTGGTGAAATAATAAAAGAAAGTGAGGATGAACGGATGAAGCTCTTTTATCAGATTCGTCGAGTTGTTTCCACGCTAATATCACCATACCCACGCGACTTCCAACCAAGTGTACCCCACACTAATGTTAATACAATTGACAAATATTAAATATTAAAATCTATATATATAAGGTCTTGTATAATATGTGAGCACCGTTAGTTTCGTTATTACATAATAGCCCTTATTTTTTATTAGATTATTTTGTTAAAAGAAATATGTCAAAACAATGAAATATCTATTTTGCCCCTAAAAGGTTGGTAGCTGAATTAAATTGACGTCTATCACCATGCCCACGCCTAGGGATGTCATGCAAGCTGCGACGTTTGCGACTAGCTCGGGCTCAGTTTGAACGGCTCACGAGTTTAGTCGAGCTCGACATGAGATATATGCAACTTTTGCAACTACTAGGGGGTTATGTTGGTTTACTGTTTTGACTTCAAAGTTATGGCAAAATGAAATTTTACATTCGAATCCAATTTTAATTTTAGAATTCAGAAAACCTTAAAATCTCAAATTTCCTAACAACCTCAAGACTGCAACCACCGATCTCAAATTCATCGGTGACCGCAGTGAATCGACTGACTGAGGGACTTTGTTGACTCCACTGACTCTTACTCAAGTACTTCACTGATGATTCAAAAGATTCTCGGCTTGTTTCGTCTATTATCCTCATGTCTAAATTGATGCAAAAAGCCTCTCAACTCTCGACTCATTTTGTCTATTCTCCCCTCGTGACTCGTCTATTCTTTGAATGATTGTAAGTAAACTTGAGTTTGATTGTTTCCTGATGATCATTTTATCCTGACTTTTTTCTTCTAAGATTTGGCCATATAATTAATCTTGGTATTAGTTGCAAAGGCAGTTTGGGAATACAAAGATGAAATCGAAATTAGATAATTTGTATTGATATATACTTATGGGACGTAAAATGAAAGAATGGACATGATCATTTTTTATACAAAATTACATATTTGTGCTTGCGCCTTCATATAGGATACATTAAGAACCCCTAAATCAAAAGCAACCTTTTCAGATCAAGCACATGTAATGAAGTCGAGCCTGAGCTCGAGCTCAAACTCAACACCTTAAGCTTGGTCGAGCTCCTACTGTTCATGTCGAGGTGAGTTTGAGCTACCCAAAGCTTGGCTCGATTACATCCCTACCCATGCCACTTCCAACCAAGTGTAATCCATGTTGATATAACATTGACAAATAGAAAATATTAAAGTCTAAATATTGTTATAAAAAAATTAAAATAATATTACAATTTAAAAATAATATTTGCGAGAGTAAAATATAATAGATTGATACAAAGTTATTTTACAAAAGTTTAAAATATATTTTTAGAAAAATATAAAAAATACTTTTACAGAAAATTTAATTCATATAATAATTTAGAGTCAATAAATTAATCCCCCAAGGTATGATATACTAACAAAATCTCCTTGATGTTTTCGAAATAACAAAAATTCCTTTGTCGGTAATTAGTGAGCCATTAATATTTACGTTGTTATGAGTTTGTAAATATTACCAAATTACCTTTATACTGTTTATTTTAATACCTAAAACTTAATGGAAAAGATTTCTGTTATTTCCAAAACCTCGGGGATTAAATATTAATGCATAATTTTAAGGCATAATTACAGCAATATAAATTTGATGTAACTGATAACGTGTAGTTGATTATTCTAAATGGCAATTTTAAATCCTCAGCTTACATTGTTCACATGCATGATTTGTTGCAATTAAACTGCTAAGATGTAATGCTGTAATTAAATTGCTAGCATGTGTTGCTGTAAATAAATTGCTAACATATTTTTTTTCACCCCTACTTTCTCTTGAACTTTTTTCCCCTCATCCTTTCTTTCTCTTGCCTTTTCCCTCCCTCATTTATTTCCTTTTCCTTCTCCACCTCCCCCTCCACCATGCCTTCTCTTTTACTAAGAGATTCGGATGTAATGGGGTTTATGTTGTTATTTCGGAAACAAATGGGTGTTTTGGATTACATAAAACGTTAGGGGGTTTAATGAATTAATGCATGTACATTTAATTTAATGGAGCAAATCTGCAAATCATGTGAGCGATTCAATTATATCGTTATAAATAGGTGATGCTGAATTTTGGTTTTCGTCACTGGAAGTCTGGAACTTTGATATAAGAAGGTTTTTAATATATTAAAAAAATGATGAAGGCTAGAATGTGCTTTTATTTATTTTTGTTTCCCATGTAGTTGCAGCTCCACCTCCGAAAATTGAATTATCATCACTTTTGGCTAGTACAAACATGGGACTACGGGCTTTTGTCAATGCCAAGCACTTACAAGAACCAATGTTTTGAAAACCAGATTGGGTCTTGACCCAGTTCACAGTTTAACCGGTCTGACTGGTTAAACCGATGGTTTTTTATTGGTCTAAAAAGTTTAAAATCTTGTAAAAACACCCCTAAAAAATACGTTTTAGTCCTTAGAAGTTTAAAATCTAGCAAATACACTTCCTGCAATCTGTTTGGGTTTTGAATTTTCCGACTGATTCCGGTAACCAAAATTCAACCTGACATCGTTAACTGAACCACCCTCTTCCACTCTACAAAACCCTCTAACCCCGGAACTTAGTAACCCCTCGTTCGTCAATTGTCACTTGCAAACACTGCCGCGATTGAGTTGATTTTTTCGGCTGATGTCACAAATTCAATCCAACACCACCACCTGAACTACTAGCCTCTACTCTACAAAACCCATCTAACCCTAACACTTGGTAGCCCCCCGTTTGTCGGCTGTGACTCCCATATTAAGTTGATTTTTTCGGTCTAATTTCAACTAATTCTGACATCCAAAATTCAATCCGACACTACCCCTTGAACAAACGACCTCCACTTTACGAAACTCCTCTAACCCTAGAACTTGATAGCCACTCATTCGTCGATGGTATAATTAGAGATTTGGAAGAACAGTAAAATTGAAAATTCGGACAGGAGAGGATGCTGATCAGACCGACTAGTCCAGTCCGATTTTCAGAACATTGACAAGAACACTGAAATGTTGAGTTTGTCTTATGGCCTTTGGCCAGCGGACCATACTGGCCACACTACTCCGAAAAAACCACGTCAGAACACAACTATAGCGAGCACGACAGTATGCATATCTTTCTTATTTTTGTTATTTTATCCATCTTTCTTCATACAATAATTGCTTCTGATTGTAATTATATGTACGCAAAAAACGAAAGGGCTTTGTTTACAGACATGCTTGTGAATTGGAAGAGTCTCGACAAGAAGTCAAATGAAGTCTTTTGGAATCATGAGTGGGACAAGCATGCAAGTATTTATAATCAATTTCAACCAAAAAAATACTTAAAAACAGTGTTAGCACTGATAAAGAGAACGAATGTACTGATGAATCTACAAAGAGAAGGTATACGTCTGAATGGAAGTAGTTACACTATAAGTAATTACAAGAAGGCAATAAAATCATCATCCATTAATAATGAGCCAATGCTCAAGTGTTTTCCGAAAAGTACCTATGGCTATATCCTAAAAGAGGTGACGATCTGCATTGATACCCAGGGCAATAACTTTGTTCCTTGTAAGAACTAAGAATGCAGCTAGTTACATGGAAAAGACATGAGGTACTACAAACATAACACAAGAAACGGTGCATTCCTAAACCCTACAATTTTGTAGAGAATGTTTTATTTATTCCTTCAATAAAAGTTGAAAGTTTATTTTGTTTCACTGTTTTATCAAAACTCCAAAAATATCATATAAAAATATGTCTAGCTAGTTTTGGACTAACAATTCTTCAATCCCACAAAAATAATTGGAATTTTTCAAATACACAAATAAATGATACTCTAATTAATACTCAAAAAGAAAAATAGATCTTTATTCTCTTGGTTCAGACTCGTTTCCTTGTCAAGTTTTAGAGAAAGAATTTAAAAGTTTTGGAACAATAGTTATATTTACTTTCTATCCATGTGGTCATATGCAAACTCATTAAATCAAAATCTTGATAGATGAAACATCAATTCACACAATCCAGAGTTCACATCATCAAGCAAACTATAAAAAAAAGCTACAGAGTTTTCAAAAACACAAATTATAATCATGATGCTACCATCTCACCCTTTTTATCCTTCAAAAGCTTCAGCTCCTCCCTCCAACCTTCAAGTTTCGACAACTTCTCTAGCTGCTCTGGCTTCATTTCCCTCTGTCCAGTCTTCTGTTGTTGAGCTTCTGCAAGTCGGATCTGCAGTCCATGTACATAAAATGCACTAACGTTATAACTTCAAATTACAACAGCTATATTTTACCTACAAACAGCAGTCAAAATAGCCAACAACACCTGATAGAATAAGAACAACAAAAACAACATTTAGTCTAGGATAACAAGCTGAAACATTTCTCCAAGGTAAAATAAGCTTCTTTATATAGATGTATATCTGATGCATAGTAATTTCGAGTTATTTAGAGTTATATGCATATAAATATTGATACATATAAATATAGATGTATATGTATCAATATATATCCTAACAAAGGGTTGAGACTTGAGATGTGTGTGTGTGTGTGTGTATAGATAGATAGATAGAGAGAGAGAGAGAGAGAGAGAGAGAGAGAGATAAGAAATACAGTGGAATTAATGAGAGAAAGGTGGGCAGAAAGCAAAGCTCTGATGAATTAAAAAATTAGATTGACTTTCTAAAAAGTAAAGACTACTAAGTATTTAACTGAGAAAACAAAAATCGTTGCTTTCCTAGGGTGGATTTTAAACTTGCCAACTAATCGTAAGGGTAAACCTTTTTCTAGTAAATATCTATATCAACTGCTTGTTTAAAAATTACTGTCAAAACATGTTAAAATAGAAGTTAACGAGTGTGGAAAATGTTTAAAGCGTCAACTAATTACCTTTCTCTACTGAATTTTTAAGTCAATGGCTTGTAAAAAATAAGACTAATTATAACTGTAAACTTTTTCTGTTAAATGTTTCTGAGCAACTACATTGTTTGTGAACACAATCAGTAAGCAATTTATTATATCAAGATTTTCAGAGTATGCAAACCCAAAAGCAAATATCATTGACCACGTTAAATAGATTATGCATTACTTTATGTGTAAAGACACTTACAGCCTCATAATGATTGCAATTACAATTATTATTATTATTTTTATTTCATAAGCTTGATAAATGATATAAGATAAAATAAGATGACTCCAACATTTCAAATGAGAATGGTTACCACAATAATTTTTAAGAAATAATGAATGTGTTAAAGGGTACATAGCAACTAAATCCTACTCAGCTTAAATATGTAATAATTTCATTCTTCTTTAATACAAAGAACTTTAAAACTTGTAAATTTTAATAATCTCACTAGCCTCCCCTTCCAGAAATGTTCCACCCTCAAACAGTACAGAACATAAGAAAGGATGAAGCTATAGATTTCTTTTAGTATTTGCAAAACCCAAGGCTAAAATCATGATGAATTTACCTTCTTTTTAAGTGCCCGAATTCTTTTATCAATATCTTGACTCAGAGCTACTGCATCCGAAGCACCCTTCGTGTCTGAGGGAGGGATCTCTAAAACTTCATTTGTGGAAACATGCAGTTCATTCATCTGAGATGTCAATGATTTAGCAGATTCCAATCCATGACTTATATTTTCAGCAAGTTCCACTTCTTCCTTATTTGTCTCCCCATCTACTGTGGCTTCCGAGTTCTTATCCTTTTCAAGAGCAGCCTGCCACAGGTATTTTAAAAGAAGAAAAAATTGCATTAAAAGTTATGATGTAGAACAAGGAGCGATTCCTATATATATATATATATATATATATATATATATAGCCCGGTTTTTTATACAATCAGTGAAGAATGAAATTTCTATAATTAAATAATTTTGTCAATTTTAAACTTAGTTCCTATATTATAGGGATTTGGATCTACATATAACTCTTTCCTTAAAAAAATTCTGAGATACACTTCTATATATAGGGCTTATAAACTAATATTTTATAATTATGAATAAGAACATCAAAATTTTATTCTCTCTAATCTTTGTGGTCATGGTATCAGAGCAACCATCATTAGGGCAGTAACACTAAACTATTATATTTTTCTAGTGATTATCTTATAAATCAGCAAGTATTCATTGTTTATTTTAGCTGTTTATACCACAATTATAGAAGACTTAATCTCCTATTTCTCATCATCAGTACTGAATGACTTCTTCAATTGAGTCCATAATGTTTGGAATCTCCACTGAAGCAATCTCAGTTGATCATTAAAACTCTCATAAATCCCAGAGAGCGGTCTACAGTGGTCTCACTTTGTAAAGTTGTTCATCAGAGGGCCAAGGAAGATTGGATATTTAACTGGTGCAAGTAGGATTAGAAGGAAAATGATTCAATGTACACCATCTGAGATGCAGAGAATTTCATGATTATGTTAGCAGGAAGATGATTCAATGTATACCATCTGGGATGCAGAGAATTTCATGATTATGTCATGGCTCGTAAACTCCATCAATTCAGAGACAGGCCAAACATATGTGTATCTTTCCATCACTAAAGAATTATGGGATGCAAAAAGTTACACATACTCAGATTTGAGCAATTCCTCACATGTCTATGAAATTAAAACAAAGATCCAAGAGACAAGACAAGGAGATCAGACTGTAACAAAATATTATAATATATTACAAAGTTTGCGGCATGAACTTGATGTTTTTTCTGATTTTGAATGGGTGTGTGCAGGTGATAATGCCCAGTCCAAGAGAACAGTCTAGAAGCACTGTGTATTTGAATTGAAGAAATTGCTTTATGGTTAGAACTTTGAAATAGTCACCTAGAACATGATTTGATCAATTCATAAAGCTATCAAGGATCGCGAATATTGTCAAAGTCAGGTTGATCACATACTGCTCCACAAACATTCAAGTGATGATAAGATAGCAACAGTTAATGTTTAAGTGGAGGACAAAATCTTGACCAGACATAGTATAAAAGAATTGGAGGATTTGATCCACAGTTCATGTGAATGACAAAATCTTGTCCAAACATAAGTGATTTGGAGGATTTGAAGACTTTTCTCGCGAGGGAATTTGAGATGAAAGATCTTGGAGCATTGCAATAATTCTAGGATGGAAATTAGTGAAATCAAAGCATTTGTCTCTCAAAGAAGTACTTTTTATTTACTTATGGAAACAAGTTAAATTGGCCACGAACCAATAGAAACATATATGAAGCCCAACTTAAAGTTACGGGCAGCTAGTGCAGAAAGAGTAATGAACCAAGAGAAGTTGTAAAGGCTGGTTGATTCTCATTTATCTTTCACATGCACAGCAAAATATTACCTTTGCAGTGAACATAGTAAGTCCATTTATGCACTCACCAGGACACTTTGAAGCAGCCTACAGAATTCTCAAATATCTAACAGGAACCCCTAGAGGAGGATTGCAGCATGGAATCCACAACCAAATAAGGATCGAAGAATGTTGATTGACAGGTAGTGTGACAGATAGGTCTACTTCAAGTTATTGTTCTTATGATGTTGGTAACTTGGGGACTTGGTGTAGCAAGACACAAACCGTAGTAGCAAGGAGTAGTGCAGAATTTGAGTTTAGAGCATTCACTCATGGAATTTGTGAACTTTTGTGGCTAAAAAGATTACTGCCTATGAGGCTTTACTGTGACAATAAAGTTGCAATCAACATAGCTCACAATCCTATCCAACATGATAGGACTAAGCATGTGAAAGTTGATCATCATTTTAGGAAGAAAAAATTGGAAGGAGTGGTATACATACCCTATATTCCTACAGGAGAGCAGTGGCAGATATCTTCACTAAAGGATTACAAAACGGGCACTTTGACAACTCTTACATGCAGGCTGGGAATGCAAGACATTTTCGAGCCAGCTTGAGGAGTGTGGAAAGATATAGGGCTATTTTATGCAATTAGTTAGGCAGAATTTTTAGGAATTGTCTATTATTAGATATCCCTTTTTTTTTTTTTTTTTTTTTAAATTCAAAATAAGTAGTTCTTATATTATAGCGATCATGATTTGTATATCTTTTTCCTTAAAATCTGTGATATGCTTCTATATACAAGCCTATAAACTAATATATAAATTATTATGAATGATGGTATCAGCAGTTTTCTCTCTTATCTTTGTTTTCAATAAATGCAAATAAAGAGGAAAAAGGAAAATTGAGAGAGAAGAGAGGTAAGAGAGAGAGAAGAAATGGGAGTAGAACAATTAAGGATTCAAGAGAGATTAGAAGAAAGAAGAAACAGACTGTTATGTTCATTCATCAAAAAGCTATCTCCAACATCAGCAATAAAGCCTATTGTAGATTCAATTATAACAAGTTATTTATGTAAACAGTTTTAGAAAATTTTAAGTTTCCAAGATTAACTTGATCAGAATCAATAGAAAAAACTCTAATCTCCTAATACATAATTATAAAAATAATTAAATTCAAGGAATATAAACAAAATTTCTAATCACTAAAAGCCATGGAATATAATCCCTAAAGTATGATTTCCAAAAAAAAAAAAAAAAAAAAATTGAAATCATAAAAAGATTATAACACTCTTTATTATTAACATTAACAATTACATCTCTATTAGAAATATAAAAAAAAAAAATACAATACAACCCATGTATGATATATATATATCAATAATTTACTTTAAAACAAATTATGGACCACTATTAGCCAGTCACAAAGTCTCCCACTCAGTTTTCATAAAGTNACTTAAGAAGTATAAGCATTTCGTAGTACTGTTATGCCTTTAAAAAAAAAAAAATGAAAAATTGAAAGGCTAAGTTCATTACAACAACGAAACACCTTCCAAAAACTAACAATCTTATGCTATTAACTTACAAGGAAAAAATGTTCAAAAGGGTGTTAATGGTGAAAACCCATAATTTGGGAATAATTGGTACAAATTCAATTTCTTACCGTTGAAGAAGATCGAGCATAGTTCACAATGATAGTTTTGTAAAACACATCTTCCCAGGGTTAATTTCATGTACTCCCTATATTGTTTAATTTTAAGTGCACTGAAGTTTTCAGAAATTATAAAAAACGCCTTGCCGTTAATATCAATTCTGTAAAACTTAATATTTAAAAGATATTTTGGTCTTTACAGTATTAAAAACTTCCACTTTTTCATTTCTTCCTCCCATCCCCTCTCTCTCGCCCTCTCCTCTTTCATCCCCTCTCTCTCCTTTCTCTCTGTCATCTCTACTCTTCAGATTATATATAACGATAGCCACCCACTACCACATTGCAGCAACAACAGCCACACATGGCCATCACCATTAGTGTACTCTTCCTCAATCATTCCTTTCTCTATTACATTCTCAAAAATCACAAAATATGCTTTGGGTAAGAGATGGTAATGGATTTTGGCTTTGAGTTGCAACAAAGGATTTAGATTTGTTATAAAGATAGATAGGATGTGGTTTTATGAATTTGTGATTTAAGGATTTAGTTTTTTGATGTACAAAAGACAGAACTTCCAAAGAAAATTCAGTAAAAAATTTGCAAGGATATGAAAGGGGTAAAATGGGTAAATGTCTTATCATTAGGCAACTCAACTAGACACATGGCAATGGTAGGGTGGTTTTTCATGGTTTATGAAAACCTTGAGCGTGCTAAAATTAAATGACAATACAAGAGTTACATAAAATTAATCTTATCGTCCTACTAAATTCCTTTACTTAAGCTAAAGGGCTATTATCAAGTTGTGTACAACTTTCTTAGAAACTCACTAGAAAAGATGAAAAGTTTGAAAATATACTTAAAAAGAACGAAACACCATTAGTTATCATTAAATTTCACAAAACAGTTTAAAAATCCTTAAATGCCACTAAACTAATACTTAAAGGAAATAATTATTTAAAAAAAAAAAAAATTAAAACAGCTGACAGGTGACATCTCTTGATTATTTTTTGTTTTTTATTTTTATATTTTATTATTGTTCATTAAAATTCATTTTTTTTTTTAATTATAAGTGTTTTTTAAAAGGCCTTGTGACGTAATTTGAAGCACACCCAAGCTTTTCGAAAACCATAAAAATAAAAAAAAAAATAAATAAATAAAAAAAGCCACTACACTCATTAAGGTTTAAACAATCATGGTGGGTTGTGGATGGTTTCTCAAAAGTTTGGGTGCGCTCCAAATTAAACGATCTCACAAGAAATATATGAAAGTATTCCTTAAAATTAAAAGTAATTGTCAAATTACATGTTTGTCCTCATCAAATTTTAAATTTAAACAATTTTTTGTCCCCTGAGTGTAATTTCAAACTTTTACACTTTCAATAAGTTTCTGAAAAAGTTCTCTGTAAAATTGATAAGAGCCGAATTCTCATATAAATAAGATTAAGACAAACATAAAAGTCAATTCACTCACATCAGTGATGGAAAGAATGTTGTACGAGGAAAAGGTTCACTAAATGGAACAGAGATTTATGGGCTTTTAACTAACGGATTTGTAAACGAAAACAAAAGCTGAAATCTAATTCTTAGAGTCAAGATTATATTGCCTAACATTGATAAGATCTTGCTGTGGCCAACACAACATTGTGGTGGCTAGAAATCAATTTAAAATTTGGTTTGCCAGGTTGAAGGACCTCAAGGAATTTTCTTTTTTAATGCTTTTATGAAGCAACTCTGTCTCTCTCTAATAATTTTCCAACATATCAAGCGCAAAATCGAATAGGGCTAAAAAGAAACATCCATTAGTTAGAAAAAAAAAAATTAAATTACCTGTAGCCGCTTCTCTTTCTTTCGTTCATTTCTTTTGATGGACTTAGTCTTCGGTTTTGAATCAATAACTGGATCATAACCAGGAGGCACCTCCTGCAATGCCATCAACTCCTTTTTCAACTGCATTAAAAATAATAAATAAATAAACCGAAGTCAGTTTTCAGCATCCATATTTACTCACTGACCCATCTAAACAACAAAGCAGCCCAAACAGTAAACTACAATCTTTCTTCCATTTGCAGATAATTTCAACAAAAAAAAATTAAATCCTAATATTTTTACTGACATTGTTTACAGAAGAACTAATATTTCCTCCCAAAGAACATTAAAGAAGGCTTAATTTACTTGAGGGTTTTCTTAATGAGGGCATTCAGATTTCTCTACTTGCTAGTACAAACTCATAATAAGATCAATTGTATTTCTTCAACATATCAGATATACTCACATTCATTAAGCTAATTTAAATACATCAAGAATTGACATTAAAGTTTCAATCTAAAATCCCTAGATATCTGATCTCTTGAAGAATCTCATGATAATATAAAACCAGAAACAAAAATTGAAAATGTTCTGACATAAACTGAAGTAAAAGATTAAAGATTGAAGACTTACCAGAGCACCTTTGGACTGATAGATGGCGACTTCGTCTTGAGGGACATAACCGGCCCGAATTCGAATGGGTTTTCGAAGAGTACCGTCAGGTCTACGAGTGGGAGCCAATATTCTTTCTCCTTCTTTTAAGGTTTTGCTAAGTTCTGCCATTTTGCTTAGCTCTTCTTCTGCTCCGCCATTGCTGCTACCCATTTGATTATTACTTCACACAGCCACACTCGTCAATTCTTCACACTAAACATGTATTTTTTGTATTACAAATTCACCCCTAAAAGATTGCTTAATTTATGAAACCCACAAAACCCACAAGGTTTTGGAAACTATTATAAATCCCACTATCGTCTATAAGTAAAATAGGGATGTCAAAGTGATCCATGGATTTCCGGCTCCAAGGAGCCTCACCCTCATAGGCTAGATTTGCATAGTAAGAATTTTTGGAATGGGATAGATGGATATCTTGATCTAAATTATTTTGGAGTATACATGGGAATACTAACTTTAACCATGACCCACCCTATTTGCCCCAATAATATATAACTATAAATATATAATATTTAACAATAAAATTATAAATATTATTTATTATAGGTTATATTATTTACTCCTTAAAAGAAAAACAAAAAAACAAAAGAAAACCTTAGCCACCATAACATTATTTTTCTATTGACTCACTTCAAATTGATTTCTTGTCATCTTCTTCACTTATGAATTTGAAAATAAGGTATGTAATTCAATTGTTTAGGGTTTATTCATATCATGTTTGATGCTTAAAGTCATGCGAATTCTAGACTTTGAACTTTTACATTTATTACTCTTGTTCATGATTTGTTTGGATAATTTTTGGGTAGAATTATTAAACTTTGAATATAAAATTTCATATTAGATAATATTATTATTTATCAATTTGATTATATATATTGTGTTAGACTGGAATTATATATATATATATATATATATATATATCTAAACTGTATATTAATGTATAATATATATATATATATATTAATCTTTATTTTGTGTACCTAGGTGTAGTGATTTCTTCAATCCTAGGGTTATGATGATTTTATTAGTAATAATGGTTTGATTTTGTTCTAAAAAAGTTTCTCAATTTTAATCTTATTGTACCACGGGTTTTTGTATTATTTGTTGTATTTCAGATTCATTTTGATCATGTAGAGGTTTTGCAGGTCATAATTTTTCTAATTTTGTTATTTACTATAGCAAACACTGTTTACTGTTATTTTCATCACTGTCACATTACTGTTCATTCATGTAGCAGTTCACTGTTCATCCATGGCACTGTTCATTCTTATTGTAAACTAAGGATTAGATAAATCTAGAAGGTTTAATCTAGAACAACTCTAGGATTGATTTTAGGTTGTGCTTGGTCGCCTGAGGTGTGCTTAGTCAACCTGGAACCATTGGTCACCGTGTTAGGTGGTCCCGTGATTTAGGAGAACAACTAGAACTTTTAGGTTAGAATTATTTTATAGATGTCTAATTTCTTAAGGAGACTAGGAAGTAGTAGTAAGCGAGATGACAATAGTAATATAGTAAGGTGGGCAGGGACCAGACCTAACCGAGCCCGGTCTAGGTCCGATTGGGACTGGTCCCAAGGGACTAGTCTTTCAGGGCTAGGATCGCTTAGGCCCATGAAAAATTTCAAGGCCCGAACCGGTCCCTAAGACCGATGCTAGCCCCATAGGACCGAACCTAGGACCGGTCCCAGGGCCCAAACAATTTCATTTACCCCCTTTTTATTTTATCTATCTGGGACTTAATAGAAATTATATAGGGGGTTTTATGTAATTTTTTAAGGGTAATCGTAATTTGTAAATTTTTTAATTAATTAATAATAAATAATTAAATAAATGAATGATTGATTGTTAATGAATAATGACTTAATTCTTAATTGGTTATAAATTTAGGGTGTTTTTATTTAAATTTTAAAGAGATAATAATAATTTAATTTTAACATAAATATAATTCACATATCACACATTCACACTTCACAATAAACAATTAAATAAATCTGATTTTATATATTAATGTACATCGTCAATAATATTTAATCCTCCAAATCTGTGTTTCTAAAGAGTTGAGTAGTTAGGGATCTTTAGGATGTTATTGATCTCTTCTTGTCCGCATGAGTCCATCCCTAAACATGTTATGACTTCAACCATCTCATTGGTTAAGAACATCTTTTCTCTTCAACGGCCACTAATTGAGAATTGGACTCGGATGCAATTGTCGAAACTAGCATGATAAAATGTCACATGCCATTTGGGCTACTATAGGGAATGACTTGCATTGTGGTTCCACCATTGAGCACATTCATCTCACATTTCTCCTTCATGGTCATGTAGGACATGTCCATTGTATACCGATGCAACTCATTTGGTCCAACTTGTTTGTACGAGCTGCTACCTCCACCACCACCACTGTCGTGTCCACAAACCTCCAGATGCTTGTTCCTGTGCATCCTTGGTCTTCATCAGGGTCTTGCTGCCGTCTTTCCTGGCATTAGACACTCCAATTTGCCTAGTCGGATTCAAGAAAAAAGGCAATAGAAACTTCTGTGATTCAGTGGAAGAGCGACAAAGAAGATTTTGGTGGGAAGAGAGGAGAAATTTTTCTCGTTTTTGGGCGCTGGAATTTTTGAAGAAGAAATGGGTTATTCTAATTGTTTATAACCCTAGCGTTGGCTTAATGAAAAATGGGTGGGAGATTTGCCTTAGTGAAATTTTTGAAGTGGGAAACTTTGCCTTAGTGCAATTTTAGTTTTAGTTTTTTTAATTTAATCATTGACAGTTAAAAATTGTCAAGGATTGAGACATAACAGTCAAGAAAATATTGTACAATTTGATTTTTACGAAATCCTTGACATTTATTACTGTCAGGATTTGTAAAATGGTCAAGGATTATTTCAAATTCTTGATAGTTTATAAACTGTCATGGATTACAATTCTTGACCATCTTTTAGAACACCCAAGAAATTCTGTCAAGGAACAGTTTTTCTAGTAGTGGCTATGGTGGAATATTTAAACATAAATTAGATAATAAATAGAGTCTAGATAGGTTCCTTCTGGAGTCTAGCTCGATGCCCAAAAGAATTATTCACACTGTAAAAAAGGAAGTTTTATCAATTGTTTTATGCATTACAAAATTTCAAGATGATTAATTAATAAAAGATTTTTGATCTGAACAGCTTCTTCGCATCAAAATTTAATTTTGAAAAATGTCAAAATTTAGTTTCAAATAGATTTTTATCAGATGGCAAGCAAAACTTTCTTGTTTTGATTTTGTAATTGAACATCAAAGGACATAATAATTCATTACTTGACTTTCTTTCGATTGACTTCTTACAAGGAAAGAAAAATTTGAAGTGAGTGAAAGAAAGAAAAAAGAAATTTGAGTAATTTAATGAAAATGGGCACTCCCATCAAACACAATGATTCTCATAAAGAAAAAGTATCAACCAAATTTCAAAAGGAAAAAAAACTTTTTCCTATTGTTCAAAATTGTCATCTTTCTCAAAAGAAAAATGATCAAATAAATTTTTTTAAAAATATTCTTTCCAATGATATTTGGCAAAGAATACTTTTTGATACCCAGATTAATGATTTTATGGAATTAAATAAGTATATTAAAAATCTAAAACCAATGTAATTAGTTGAAGCTTTACCCCTTTCTTTAAAATCTGTTAACAAAATTATTCTTGAAACTGAAATTCATGCTAAAAAGTCCTCATTGACTATGAGCAAGAAAAACCACAAGAGTCAATATGTAAGACTTTCTTTCTAGCTAGTGTACTCGGAAAATAAACAATATTATAAGAAAATATATAAATATAGATGAGTATGAAATAATGGGTTTAATTTTTCTTTATATACAAATCTTTATGTAATATAATAAAGTCACAAAATAGTAACTCGACAGTGTCACCAAGCCTTTCTGCTTCTTAACGTTCCATGCGACCGTGTCTCACCTACCACCTACAAAAACATTGAAAACAACTGGGTGAGCACTAATTGCTTAGTAAGTAAACCTGCTATGCTACCCTTCTCTCTCTGTTGCTTAAATGCTGAATTTCTTTCCTTACATCACACTTCTCTATTCTTCTCTGTTCTTTGTTCTTTCTCTATTCTTTCTCTTTTTTTTTTTTTTCTGTTCTTTCTCAATTTCTAATTTCTCACTACTCATGATAATAGGCATGATGCAAATGCACAAATGCATAGGATGTGCATTTTCTTTTCTGTTTTTCTATTTTTCTTATTCTGTTTTCTATTTCTTTCTTTCTTTTCTATTCTTTCTTTTCTTTTCCTTCTTTCTATTCTTTCTTTCTTTCTATTCTTTCTTTTTTTCTATTCTTTTCTTTCTTTCTTTTCTTTTCTTTCTATTCTTTTTTTTTTTTTTTTTTTTCTATTCTTTCTTTCTTCTTTCTTTCTGCCGATTAGACTCGGTTGAGGCATGGATTTGGAGCCTTGGCCGTGTGAGTGTATTCTCTAATCTCTGGGTACAGTCTTCATCCAATGCACTTCTAAGGACTGTACAATTCTTCTTTCTGAATCTCGAGGCCGTTCACTAAAGGCGGTGTGTAATAGCCATTACTACTCAAAAGATTATAATGAAATACAATAAAATAACATAAAGAAATTGGGCCCAAATTTTTTTTTATTAAACATATATAACATACTCTTTACAAACATATACATTTTTACACAAAATGTATAAAAAACAAAAGTCATCAAAACATCAGGGACAGTGTAACCATCCTCCTCGCACGCCGACATCCATCCGACAGTGTCCTCACCTAGGTCCTGCAAAACATGGGAAAACACGGGGTGAGCACTAAAATAATGCTCAGTAAGTAAACTTCTACTCATACTAGCCCCGTAACTCTCTTTCTCTAATTCTTTCCTTACATCCTCATGCAATTTCTCTTTGGGTTCCACTCTATTTATCCTTTCTCTTTCCCTTAGGAACTCTTTTCTCAACTATTTCATAAATCACGACCCCATCTCACGGGGCACGGCCGGGACTACCCGCTCTACGTGACCTCTAATACTCTAGCCGATCGGACTCGGTTATGCATGGATTCGGAACCTTGGCCATGTGAGTATATAATCTCTCTCTCTGGGTATCGGGTATAGCCCTCATCCGCATGCACTCTCAGGGCTACACCACTTCTCTATCTGATACTCATGCCGCGCTCTCAATGCGGCGTACATGCGGGAATATCTACCATTACTCACGGGTTCCCATCGCACAACTACTCTATTCTCTAACTCTTAAAGAACTTATACTCACATTCTATACTAAATCTCAAGCTACTTTCAAGTGTATAAACAAAGGTGTAGAGCTATCTCATGCTCCCTAATGCACTAATGAATGCCAACTACAAGATTTCCTCAAAACAGTCATTCTGCACAGTACACTAAAACGGCCATAACTTATGCTATACACCTCGGATTACTACGGTTCGGTCTCG